GGGGGCAGGGGGACAACCATCAGAAGCGACGGCTTCCAATTGAAGCACCGTTTTGTGTGTGTGGAGCTGTGTTTCGTGAACATCATGATCCGTCACACACCCTGCTGAAGAGCCTTAGGGAGTGGTGAGATTCCACTACTCGTATCGAATGTAATTTACAAAGCGGCGAGTGTATCCGTCGGCTATAAGTGAAACGATACACTGTCCGCGTTTACCACATTCGGCAAGTAGTGGAGCTAGTCCCTCTTAAACCACCAGTGCCTTTTCCCGCTCGAAAAACAAATATGTGGTTCGTGTACGGCTGCAACTTTCTGAAATTACCGGGGTGGCGTTTCGCTGGATAGTAAAGATTTCGATGTGATCCTGAGGCAAAGGCGCTGGGGGCTCGCGTTCACGGTCGACGAAATCTGTTGACTTCGGTTGCCAAAACCTGGTGTGAGTGTGGCTATGGCGGTGCGTGGAGAGGTGCGCGGGCACATGCTGGGCCTGCCAAAGGAATCTAAAAGGTTCCTGGCTGAACACTTGTTTCGGTTGAGTATGCGTCAGGAATCTCTGCCAAGGTGAGGATGGAGAGAGAGGAGATGTGGGGACAGCTTGAGGGCAGGATCTGGATGCCGCCAGCATGCCTTATTAAACCGATCGGGGGCTTGCCCTTCGGTCTTTGATACGGAGATGCTGTGGGTATAACGTGTTCCTGCCGAGTTGGGGGGGGCCTGCGGCGATTTGGTTTATCTGCTGAGGGGGCGGCGAGTCGATGACAGATGTGGAGTTTACACAGTGTTATCCTGCTTTCGATAGATGAGCATCGCTTGATTTGTCGCTTTAGACGACTGGTTCGTTGTTGTTGTTGACATTAGATTGGTTTTGGGTCTGTCGTGTTTGTAGGATCCTCTTGGGATTTCATGGTGGTAGAGCTTCATTAGTTTGTTTGGAGTTTCATAGCAGTACAGGATATATGCGGGGCTTCATTTGGTTTGGACTCTGGAGTCTTTGGACTTCAATTTTTTTTTTGCCGTTTTAGGCGACATGGGACAACGCTGTTTAGGGAACTTCCGGGTTTTTTTTTTTTTTTTTTTTTTTTTTTTTTTTTTTTTTTTTTTTTTTTT